TCACCCTTTGTTCCTGACAGCTGCTCCGTGACAGGCTCAGCTCTGCAGGGTTATGCCTTGGCTGCCTCGGCACAGGCTGCAGGAATATTTTGGGTGAAGCAAAGTGCTCCTGTGAGAGCAGACACAGACTCCTGGTCTGGCAGCACCTCCTGTGTGGACAGTTGAGCCCTGCAGGTTCTCTCCAGCAGTGTTTCACCAGGCTTGGTGCTGGACTGTGACTGTGAGCCATGTGTTAAATGCTGCTCTCCAGCTGGAAATTGCCTGAACCCCAGCTTGGGCTGGAAGCTGCTGTTTCATCCTAGTGCTGCACCCTCCTCTGGGCAGGGAGCTTCAACCCTATCGATACAAATGGTGTTTCCATGCATCAGGGGTAATATTAAAGGTTACCAGTGGGTTTTGGAGAGTCCAGAGACTTCATTCTCAGGTTTTGCTTCTGGGACTTTCCAGTCTGAGGGAACTAATCTTAATCCGATTGCAATTTCTTGCCCTCTAAGCTTAACCTACTTTACCAGGCATTGTGGTGGAGGTATTTATAGATGCTGGAAGTGCTCTTGGATGTAGCCTTATCCTGCATTGCCAGTCACAGAGGTGGGTGTCTGCTGGTGCAGCTGTGAGCCACCTCCCAGCCCCAAATCATGCAGATGTCTCATTGAAATATTGTCTAGTATGATTGTTTTGCCTTGGAGTGTGTTCATTACACTGGCCAGTAATCCTTCCAGAGTCCTGGCTGCTCTAGGCTTGGGTATTTGTACTCCCTAGTTGGAAGCACACTTGTGGTTGTGGGTGAATTATGGCTAAATCCTCTTTCTAGTGAGGTGACTTCTAAAAAATGAGCATACTTAGCTTATTCCTGCAGTGCAAAATCATAATTTCAGATTTGAATGCTGACTCTAGGATCATATGAAATTGAAGGTTTCATTGAAGGGCTAAAAATGTCAGTAACAGACAGATGCACTGGAAATATTTGTACCCTTTAAAGTGAATTTCTGTAGTTGCAGCTCTTAAAACTCATAAGTCAAACCCTAGGCCTCTTCTTTAATCCAGACTCCTCAAATAGAGCTGCATGATGTGTTGAAGTTCTTCATGTTTTGTTCCAAAATTTGACTAAATTTTCTTGAAAAATAGTTTATCTTGAGTGTAATACTGGAAACCTCCTTTAGTCTCAAATGAGTTGTGCTGGTATTGGAGTAGATCCATGAGCAAGACTGGAAAGGAAGGAAATAGAAGTGCAGGATGGTTGGAAGGGTCTGTGGGCAGGCAGAGCTGTGCTAACAGCAGCAGGAATAACCAGCTGGAAATCCTGGGAGCTTTCAGGATGTCAGCAACTGTGGGGATGCAGCTCTGAATGCAGGTAAATGTTCTTTGCTGTCTCTACATCAAAGCAGGCATTTTGTTAGCAGACAAGATACAGCAGTTCGGTTTTCTAAAGCTGTTGGAAGAGCAGATATCTGTGTTGGTTTTGTTTTTTTTCTCATGTCTCACCTTAGAGTTTGCACTAGCTTTGCTTGGAATTACCTTGGAAGAAATCAGAGCTGATAGTTTTTTATTAAGAAAATTACCTCAAGCATTGAGCTTGATTTCCAAATGGACATAAATAATCCATTTTTTCCCCATTTCCTCTCTCTTTTTGTTAATGTGTTTTAATATTACAAGGGAGAGGTAGAAAGATTGCACGGTTCATTGCAGATCCATTGACTTTCCTTCCTGCTGTTTGCTGTCACAGCTTGTGTTCCTGTGGTTGTATCTCTTTTTTCCTGGTTACAGTAAGGAAAGAGAGTGCAGGTTTGATTCCTTGTGTATCATCACTCCACAAGCAGAGAGTGACTTCAGCATCTGACCAGAGAGAATATTTACCTGTGCACTGTGACACACTTGAACACTGTGACCTGTCCCTTGACCTTGCTCAATCAAGAGGTTGATCCTACAGAGCTGAACCGAGTGGAAAATATTTTTACAGGGACCAGTTTGTACCCTTGCAGGATAGAAACCTTGGGAAAATCCATTAAACTACTGTTGTTTTGAAAATATTACTGCTTGAAAAGGGAGCATTTTGTTCTGTGTAACCTGAACATGGGAAGCAGTGCTCTTGAGGTGTGGCATGCAGGAATGGTGGTGAGGAAATTCTAGGAAGAAGCTGGAATTGCTTTCTCCAACAGGAGACTCGACGCTTGGAGAAATGGCCAGGGGTATCCTGTACCAGCCACAGTGTGTCCAGCAAGACCAGGAGAGACAGTCCCTCTGTGCTGGGCACTGCTGAGGCACCTTGAATCCAACATGACAGGACAAACTTTGAGGGGCTGGAGCATGCCTAGGGAAGGGCATGGTGCTGGGAAGGGTCTGGAGCTGCAGGAGCAGCTGAGGGAGTTGGGAATGGGGCTCATCCTGGAGAAAAGGAGGCTCAGGGGGGATCTGGTGGCTCTGCACAACTCCCTGACAGGAGGGGGAGATCGGGCTCTGCTGCCAAGGAACATGGACAGGAGGAGAGGGAACAGCCTCTGGTGTGCCAGGAGATATTAGGATATTAGGGATCATTTCTTCAGCCATCAAGCATTGGAAGGGGCTGCCCAGTGACGTGTTGGAGTACCATCCCTGGAAGTGTGAAAACATGTGGATGTGGTGCTTTAGGCCATGGTGTGATGTTGAACAAGGTGGTGGTGGTGGAGTGATGGTTGGACTCTGTGATCTTAGAGGTCTTTCCAACCTTAATGATTTTGTGATTCTGTAAATCATAGAAGTCCTAGGTGAAGTAAAAATAGTAGTACACAATCTAACTCCGGACGAATACTTTTGGCCTGCATGTGACCTGCTGGACAGCTGTTTCTTGTTTTGTGAAGGCTGGTTGGCTGTGGTGGTGCTGAAGGGGCCTCACAGTGATGAGAACTTAACTGCAGAGCCAAGTGCTTGGATTAAATCTGGTGACGGATAGCAGCACATAAATAATTCTGTCCTTGGCCTCGCACCATTCACCAGTGCACCAAGGAACAAGGGCTGCTGTGAGCCCAAATTTTTCTGGGGCTGCTGTGTAGGTGCTTTTCCCAATGTCCATTTTGGCTGTCATCTATGGAATGCCAAGGGCTGTGCATTTTGAGACACAAGGCATCACTCCTGGACCTCAGTTCCATGCATAGGAATTGCTGGTGGTGGAATGATGACATTCTTTTAAAAACTGTTTTGAGGACACCACCACCATTACCACCTTAAAGCTGGGTTGATTTGCAATAAGATTGCTATCCTTATGTGTAGATTAATTTATTTAGAACCAGAAAGCTATTTTTGGCTGTCTTTTTTGTTCTTGGAGAGCAGCCTAACATAGGATATAATCCTGTTTAGATTCCCTCAATACATAAGGTAGTACTTGCTACTTCTGCTCAGCCAAAATCCAGGCCATCCTGCTTTCAAATATGGTCTGGATTTGGTATAACCATTAACATGCAGCTGAGCAAACCCAGTGGTCACAATTGGGAAGACCATAAGTCAAGAAACTTCATAATTTCAGGTCTGGTGTTAAGGATTACCCTAATTTGTGAAAAAGTTATCTATTCCTGAGTTAGTTTTGGTTTCTTCTGAATAATTCCCTCTAACGTAATCTTTACTGTAAAAGTTCTCAGAGAAGTAGGTGTTATAATGGTCAGTGATTAGAATTAGGTGTTAAGTTAGCAGAACCTTTAAAAGACAATTTATATAGGGTGGATATTTCAGCAGCACATCTTTTGGCAGTTTTGGTCACACAGCTTTGGTGGTGGTGGGCATTAGTGAATTCCAGAAGCACCATAACCCCCAGTTCTCTTTGTTGTAGTGAGGCAGGCTGGTCTGTAAAAACCTGTGTGTAGCAAAATCACAGCTAGACTGCATCTGAAGGGGCTCTTCTGCCTCCAGTTAGAATGATGTGTCTGCAAGGAATAGAAACATGGAGTCAAAAGTCTTTTCCAGGATGAAACTCAAAGTTTGGAGTCCCCAGCTGAAGCTGTGGAAGGCTGCTGGGAAGCACAGTTTGCTTTGGCTCTCCTCAGACTTTGCTTCATTTGAGTCTGTTGTTTCACTTACAGTACATTTCCATGTGACCTGTGCTGGATGGAAATTCCTGGCATTTCTCAGGATGTTCGTTTTTCCCGGTCACATTCCTTGTTCATCAGCTGAGCAGAAACAAACCATCCTGTTTGCTTCCCAGGGGCAGCCTAAGCTTCTGTATTTGTTGGATATGCAGAAAATCCAGCTTCAGATGGTGGATTGACATAATTGAAACTATCCTTAGAAACCTACTGAGGTTGAAATCAATAGACCAATATTTAACTGTGCTACAAAGTGTTCTGTCCCTGAGTAAAAACAGGAAGAACTTGGTGCATAAAGTTTACAAATAATGAGAATAGGAGCAGGCTGTGAAGAGATTTTCTGATGAGGGTGTGTAGTTAATTGTATCAGTTTTAATCTTGGACCATGTCAATTCCCATGTTCTCCTGAGCTGTATAAACATTGCTGTGAGAAAGGGAAAATCTTCCAACACAGTGTAACCGCCCTGGACAGAGGCTGGGGTTTCAGGCGTGTGAACAAAACATACTCAGTGGATAATAGAAGGAATCCCTGGACCCCAAGAGCCATCCTGTGCTTGGGGTTCATATAAAAGACATCCCAAGGTGCCCTTTCCCTCCTCAGAGCCATCCCCCAGGCTGTGCCCATGGGTGTACATGGAGGATGCTCAGCCCTGGGGTTGGAGGTGGTGGTTGCTGGAGCCCTGGCGGGTGATCCAGATGTTCCAGCTGTCACAGGAGGGGCTGTGGGTGCCTTGCTTTGGCAACTGCCTTGGAATGAGCTGGGGAAGGCTTTGGTGTGAGAGCTGACTCTGTGTCACCATCCCTGTGTCCTAACACAAGCTGTGATTTGCTAATGTTGTAAAATGTAAAATCCTTTTCTTATAAGATGTCATTTTTTTTTCCTGTTTATTTCCAGATGCTCTCAATATTTTGTGCTGACAAAAAGTTCACTTTATGTTCATTGTCTCCCAGGTAAACGCAAAGCGCTGAAGTTAAATTTTGCAAATCCACCTTTCAAGTCCACAGCAAGATTTACTCTAAATACTTCTGGAGTTCCTTTCCAAAATCCACACATGTGAGTATAAAGCCAACGGCACAACTAGTGGAACAGCTTTGAAATGAATTAGCCAACACCCAGTGTTAGTTAAATGCAATTTGATGAGTCCAGTTATTTGTCAGTTTGTTTGAATCTCTCAGTTTTGAGTCACTGTAAAATATTTTTTCCCAGAATTAAAAAAAAGGTTAAATTGGGATCTTCTTGGTTTACACTGGAGCTAATGCCTTCCAGAATTGATTGAATTGAATATTGTAGCTGATAATGCTAGATACACCTGTATTTAATGTCTAGACTGATTCACTGTTGTTTTCCTATATCTTTATCCAGTTACTGCTTTTTGTTAGAATTTAATGTTTCTGTGTTACTTGTGAAAGTCATAACTGTGATAGAATTGTTTTCAGCACTAAAACAGACAAAGGTTGAGGATTATAATTTTAGCAACAGGGAGATGTTAGGGGAGTTATGCAGAGATTAAGTCTCAGTGAGTATTCTAGCCAGTTTAGCCCCAGGATATCCCTGTCCAAAGTCTGAGATCAAGTGTGGCACAGAGCTGTTCCTGACTCTAGTAAATACCAGGGTACATCAGCACCAAAAAGATCAGCTTTGTATCCTCAGATCCACCAATCTAGCTGGACAGTGCTGCTCTGCAGCTGGTCCCTGTGGCAGATGCAGCAAGCATGCAAAACATGTCCCGCATTTTTCTTCTCGAAGGTCTCAGGAGTTTTGTCAGTGTCAAGTCTCAGAATCTGCACCTGCAGCCTCCCTGCTGCCTGGGCTCTCTGGAGTGTCCCTGTCATAGGCTGCTCCTGCTTGGCTCTGCATGTCACTGCCTCTCTCCTGGTGCTCAGTGCTTTCTGCTTCCCCAGGACATACCTGCTGGGCTCTGTCCCTGGGAGCTTTGGGGATTTTCAAATGAGCTTTTATCAAGTTAGGAACATGTTTCTGATGATGGTAATTACAATATAGAGAAATTTTATGGAGTACTTTAGATTATTCTGAAAATCTTGAGTGACCTGTCCAGTAAGTCCTCCTCTTTCCTTCTCTCTCCTCTCTGAAATAGAATATTTTTATTGGTTATAGACCTCACATTTACTTTTTCTGTCTCATCACATCATCAAACTCTTGTTAAGATTTTCTGCAAAACCCCTTCTGGGGCTCCTTCGTCTCTCTGACTTTGTTAGTCCATTAAATAAAGGACTCAGTCTCAGCTAGTGAGTCCCCACCATCAGCCATCTATAGGGATTTGAATTTTCTGTACTTACCTGTGCAGATTTCTTTCTTGGATTCACTGGAAGTCACAGTGGCTCCAGTCTAACACAGAAGAGCTTTCATTGTTAGTCTGTGACATCTTAAGTTTCATGTTTGTGCAAGTGATTGTCAACACTGTGCAAGACAGGTGCTGCTCTTTCTCTGTGGGAGTTGCAGTTGTTGGCAGGGATTGGATCCTGGTTAATGGAGCTGGTTAATGGTCTGAGGGCTTGCAGATGTTCTGGGTTGGATGTGATTGCTGTTCCAGTGCCACAATTGATGGTGACATGGCTGTGCTAAAGCTTTCTTGGGAGGCTGCAAGCTGTAATGGCCAATTCTGTTTGAAAGAGATGGATGCTGTTGGCTTGGTTGCTTTCTCTGTGGTGAGGTTGGCTGAGCTTGATGCAGCAAATTGTCCTTGTGTCCTTTGTGTGTCCCTAGCAGATGCTGTTCCTCAAAAGGAGTGTTGACATCTTCTCATTGCACGCTTCTGTCAAGTGTTTGTGTGGCAGCTGATGTATCTCCGTCTCCTGCCTTCTTCCCTGAGATGCTGGAATGACTTTTTCCTCAGTAGGCTAGAAGCCTTTCCTAGACTTTGGATTTGAGCTGGATATTTCAGACCTCCTTACCCAGACGAGTTCCTGATGCAGTGTGTTTCTGTTCACCAAGCCACTTCTCAGCCTGGGTGTCCTCCCTAAATGAGCACTGGCTCCACACTGCTGGGGGTTGTCCTGGACAGGCCCTGTTGGTCCAGATGGGTGGATCTGAAGATACAGAGAGGTTAATTTCTCACATGAAATTTGGGGTTCTGCAGTTTTGATCCACCAATCCAGGGGTGTCCTGTTGCTTCTGCCTGAGATGGTGTGTTGAGCAGCAGAAAGCAAGGCAGGGGTTTGGAAGGAAGGTCCAATTCTGTGATTGCACGTGATGGAGGAGGTGTGTCTTGTTTGGTTCAGCTGGAACTGCTGCCAGCAAATCTTCTCGAGAAGTGCAAAGAGATTTTCATCTAGGCATGATATGTTTCCTGCCTGTCTGTAGGGCATCCAGCACAGCTGTAAACATAATTTTACATGTGACTTGTACAGGATAAGGCAGAATAGAGTCTCCATTACAGGCAGTAGTTGGGGAATATAATTCATACTTGAAAGGATGGAGTCTAGAGAAGAGGTAAGAGTTTCACTGGTGGAAGGATGCAGTCTAGAGAAGAGGTGAGAGTTTCACTGGTGCAAGGATGGAGTCTAGAGAAGAGGTGAGAGTTTTACTGATGGCTGATGCCTGGTCAGTCAGTGAGGCTGTGTGATTACTGTGCAGGCTTGGGAGCAGTCGAGGCTGTGGAGACCTGCCAGGTTAGCCCACAGCTCCTGTGAGTTCAGGCTGACTTTGTCACTTAGACCAGATTAACAGCTGCTAACTTTGTTTTCCCTGCAGCAGACGTTGCAGAGGCTGGAGGACACAAGCCATGGTTAGGGTGAGCTCTTCAAATTCCAACCCATTATACCAACTGGAAAGCATCCCACCTTTTACCTCATCTGTCCTGTGTCCAAGTAGGATTTAGGTCACAAACAAAATTAGATTACTCCGTTATCTATGTGGAAGCTTTACAGAGCTGCTTGCAGCTGGTTGCCTTTGCTAAAAGGAAATTCAGATCACACTAACAGGGGTGATGTGGTGAGGTGTGACTGTGGCTGTCCATGGCAGGATTTCTGACTGGGCTGTGCTGCCCATTGCTCTTGAAACCAAGATGGAAACCATTTGGCTGTAGATGGGATTTTTGGTTTTCTGGAAAGCTTTGTATTCTTGTGCAGTGATACCTGGATGTTGACTTGGAGGATTTAGATCGACCTGCTAGGAAATGGGTGAGCACAGAGAGTGTTGTTTGGCACTTGGTTGACAGCATGCTGCTTCTTGAGTGTTCTGTCTGCTGGCTGGGAAGTCTCTTGACTCTCAGAGCTGCCACCTCTTGAGAACCTGATTACCAGAGCACTGCAGCTTCACCTGGAAGTGACAAATTGAGCTAATCTCTCTTACTGTACAAATTTGATGTTTGAAGTGTCTGGTGTCCAGTTGAACTCCACAGTCTCCCTATAGCTTGTGAGTGTCTTCATGGATTTATTGGGATTTAAGCTTTCCAGAGCTGCCCTGCGTGGAGCTTCTCCTTGTGACACCTGGGAGAATCACACACTTTCCAGAGAGCTGCCCCAAGAGTGTGTTGGATGTTCTACTGGAGTCTTCAAAAGCCAATGGAGGTCCAATTGCTCCATCATACTGTACTGCTTCCTTTTTTGCTATATAGTTCAGGGACTGTTATTCCTGGAAGGGTTTTTTCTGGCTGTTCCAAAGCCTCTCTGAGGTGTCTGTTTCTCTTTTAATCTCCTCTTAGGCTTTCCCATACCCTTCTGGCATGTGGGGGTCATGCTCTGTGGCTGCATAGCCTGCAGCTGGTGGAGTTTTTTAGGAAGTAACCTGTGAGAGTTCCTACCATTTTTGAAAAAAACCCCAAAACCTAAACCCCAAAAGGGAATATCCTTAACTGGCATGCTTCCTACTACTGCTGTGAATTTTCCTGTAAATATTTCTGTCTCTTCCTCATTTCTGTAATTGTCACTTCACATCTTTATTATTACTGATTTCTGTTACCTTTCTGCTGTGTGATACCTTCCTGTGGCAGGAGTGCTGCCTGGAAGCCTTGGAGGCAGAATTCAGAGTCAAAGGTATCAAGAATTTGAATTTTTTTCTGTGATTGATTCTGTCTCGTTTCCTGAAAGTTGCAGAATCTGGATGTAATCAGTTGTATTTTCAAGTCAGCACAAGTAAAATGCAACCTCCAAGGCCTCAGCAGAGACATCTCAGTGTCTGAGGGAGCCCGTGGTAACCAGGCTTTCACTTCTCATACAAACATCACTGTCGGTTCAGTGCTGGAACAATGTTTCTTCTGTAATTTTTTTCAGGAGCATTTTTTGCAAATTGATGAATTTTGCTTTGTATCTAACCTTCCTCTTCCTTCCAAGAGTTTACGAGTTCATTTGGCCAGTGATCTCTGCATGACAGAGGTTATGTGGTCTGTAACACACTCAAGTATCTCTGGCTTTGAGTAGGTCACTGCTTCAGAGAAGGTGCTGCCAGAGTCAGTGTGAGATTTTCACTGAATGTGCTGCTTTAAGGTCTGTTTTATTCTTTTTTTTTTTTTTTTTAACTTTCTAAGTTTTTAGTATTTCTTAAGTGTATATCCTCTCTGCAAAGGAGCTTTTTGCTGTTTGCAGCTTCCAAATTAAACTTCTCTAGCAGCTTCCACATCCCTTGGAGCTTCATTGTCCTGGTAGAACTGTTCTCTTCTTTCTGTAAAGGTTTGATATCCCAGCACTCTGCTTCTGACTTTAGTCCTTCTGTGTCTGGAACCAAAATTTGCACCATGTGTATCTCCATTAAGCCAATTCACATGAATTTTTCAAGGGTGCTGAGCATCTGCCTTCCTGCCACACTGCAGGGACCTGGGCTCCTCAGAACTTCTGGAAACTGGTGAGCCACCCTTGGGTGTCTAAATCAAATCCAGCCTGATGTTATGGAATGACCTGACTCCCATGGGTTCCAAGTGCTTCACGGGTGCTGAGTGATTGAGCTGTGCAATTATAAATTATTGCACAAATCTCTGCATTCTCCCTCCTGTGGATGGGAAGCTGGGACGTGCTGTCTTTTGGAAGAGGCAGAGGTTAGGCAGAGAGTTCATCAAGGATCTCTGGTCTGTGATCCACAGGTAGCTCTGTGTTACCTGT